TTTGAAGTAAGCCTAAAAGCGTTTAACTAGAAATAGTATTTCGAAAGTTATTAAGCACAAAAGATGAATTGCGTTTATTTTGATACACCCTGTAGAACACATTAATCGTCACCGAAAATGTGCGGTATCCTAAACGGCAGCTGAGCTAAAATTCCGACTAAAACATGACTCAGGCGATGCTAATAAACAAATAGTTTACGTGTTTATCGTAAAAATTATGAAATATCCGATTTATATGAGTTTATCTTACAGTTCCCACGACTTCCAAAACAAGGCCGACTTCTATAGTGTTGACTTCCAATACACTTGTCCTCGTGCTTCTTGCGAGCACAGCGCATGCGTATGACATATTGTTAGTATCGGTATTGGTATCGGAAAGTCGAACTTAAACTCTCTATTACAGTCAATTTCAGCTGACTTTTCATCGTAAGATTCCGAACTTCGTTCCGAACTTCGCAAATTCGTTGCCAAGTTCAAAAGTTCATAATGAAATTCACAAACAAGTTTGTAAACTGCGCATTTGATTGGCTGGTTTGATTTAATAGCCAATCCGAGGCTTTGTTTACAAACCTGTTTGTGAATTTCATTATGAACTTTTGAACTTGGCAACGAATTTGCGAAGTTCGGAACGAAGTTCGGAATCTTACGATGAAAAGTCAGCTGAAATTGACTGTAACGGTCTTCCACTGTATTTCTATGAGTCACCCTAAGGTTTACCTTATTCACTTTTTTAGGTGAATAGCGAAACCATGACGGGCGATGTTGAAATGCAAAAAGCGCGCGCTATTAAGTGCAGAAAAAACCGCCGTCAAAGACGGCGAAGCACGGGCAGTCACGATCAGTCGTCGTCGGTCAGCGAGGAGGAGGTTGATGGGACGAGACGCGGGAAACAACGCGAGAAACACGCGCGACGTTCACGCATGTCGCGTTCTCTCTCGTTTGGAAGTAGCGCTGATTCGCACGACGATATTGAACACGATGGCCACCGTTGCGTGCGTTTTAATCCCGTGCCCGAAATTCACGTGTTTAGTAATAGAGCCGATAAGAGAAAATGGAAGGAACTAAGGAAACAACAGTCGCTAAATGGAAGCACAGAACTGGACGATACACAGCCCAAGACAAGCACGGAAAAGATTTGTAAACTCAAGTCCTCGTTAAAAGATACTCGATCTTCGACGTCTGACAAGGAAAGTCAAAGTGTTAGCTCCGATGATGGAAACACACTTCATGATAATGAGGCCGTAATATCAAATGGTTCTGAAGATGCAGATAAAGACATTTTCATTGTTGATGGGAATGATTGTGACAATCTCGATGATGATGATGATGATAATTCGTTTGTTAAGCTTGAAAAGCCACAGTTAACTAATCCGCTAATATTTGATCTAGATGATTAATTAATGTGATGTCGTTCAAAGTGTCATTTTAAGATGTTCTCTCAAAGAGGAACAACGCAAATTCTCTTTTTACTCTTTTTCAACTGAATTAATAAGAGACCGGTGTCCCTGGTAATTTGGCACTCCTTAAATCCCCTCCCCCCTGGCCATATTTCCTAAGAAATTTGGCCGAGGGAGAGGGGCATATTTTTGGGGGGACCATATTTTCTGGTACACCAGTTTACCGATACACTGATTATTTCATTTGCAATCAGTACAGCACGCAAAATACAAAGAAGGTCCAGATTATTTTACATCATGACCATAATTTTGAGGAAATTATAATCCAGGCTTGTTCGGCACACATTTGGTCAGTACAACTGCCCCCAAACGAAAGCAATAAAGCATGCATTTATTGAAAATCTCTAAATAACATCTTCATCAAATTAATTCAATTGCTTTCATAGTTTTTTTCAACTTGACTAGTTAGATATATAACGTGATGGGTGCATTGGGCTGGTTAACGATATCCACCACTATCCACCTAGTCGGGCAGATAGAAGGAAAAAACTTACGTTATATCGTGGGACAATCCAATTTTGCCTTCATATTGTGCCCTGAAGGCTAGTTAGCACGTTTCTGTATGTTGGTCGCGTTGAAATTTCTTGTGGACTCCTGCCAACACGTTTTTCTTCGAATGTTGTATTAAACTCTATTACAGTTAAAAAATGTGAAATTCCAAGTACATTTCTAACACAAATGACTTACATCATTTGGAAGCTTGCAAAAATCTACTCTGTCATATAGTTTCACAACAAGCAGCAAGACTCCCACTTTTCGTCATGAAAACAAACAATGATTTTCGAAAGTCATACAAGTAAACAAGTATATTTTAATACTGTAAAAGATAGACAACAGAATTTTGTTCGCTCGTTTAATCGGTTTGTCAGCCAATCAAATCGTGGGTGAAAATGCACATAAAATTGTTTTGAATAAATTGCAAGGTCAAGGATTGAAAAAAAAACCCGATAACACAATTCGCGGTTAGTGCTATTGGCCTATTGCTCTCGGCTCTTCGCCTAGTAAACAAGCCAAAAAATTTTATCGAAATATCAATATATGGATACGAAACTCGGCACTATACGAATGGACGAGAAAACTCCAAATATAAACAACATAAAACTTTTGTTGCATGCAAGTTAATAATTCAAAGATTAGTGGAATCACAAGTTGTATAAAGCTAGAAAAGTTTACAAATTCCTGGCAACAGTTGAGCAGAGGTAAGAAATTTCAGGAAAATCCGGTTAAATTAGTTATGCTTATCTGACGGATATAGTTAAACGCGGTACTAAGCGAGCTTCGTACAACGGCGATTTTATCTGCCAGCCAGCTAAGTAACCGAACCGCTGTATAGGAAATTTATCCGCCGTATAGCGGTTAAACACCGTTCACGTAATACGCCTTTTGTATACAAATGCCCCGAGACAGTCGGTGATTTTTTTCAAGCAATTCCACCTGAATTAGCATAATCGCCGAGCTAGCCTGCGAACAGGTTCTCAAGGTGAAATATGGCCGAGCTGTATCTATATGGCCGTCATCGAAGCCCCAGGCGAGGGCACTAATTCCGTCCGGGTATTTTGAAGTAATGTGATTTTATGCTAGATCGAGTGGTGATTGGGATTCTTGCTCAACTTCTTATCTGGTGACGTAAGTCTAACTTTACGCTGGGGGCGGGGTAAAAAAAAACGCGCAAACAGGCCATGCATTGCGCAAAGCCGCAAAAATAATAACCCACATATATTTCAACATTTTAAGATCCCCCGCTCGCTTCTGGGGGTGATGTATTTTGACGTTCCTTTGGTACACACACGTGCCCTTTTGGCTACTTTTCAGCTCGTCTAAGTGCACTAAGTGGTTTTACATTGGTGACTATAATTCTCTGCATTTTATTGATGGCAACAGAAAATTACTTCATAACCGTATCAATTGTTTCATGGCTGGAATGGGCGATGATTAATATAACCAATTTTGTTTTTTAACGGCTGGCAATATCGATTTTCCTGAGCAGAATTTTATAGAAATGTTAAAATAGTTTTGCTCCATTACTTGTCAACAGGAAGCTTCCTGCCGGAAGTTGGAGTCGACTCATGGTTTTAAAGTTAGGGGATAATATATTTTGATCAGGCGCCAATCATTTTGAGTAAACAACAGTTAAGAAGGGGAATTATTTGGCGTTAAGAAATATTTGTGACCTATATTTTATCATTATAAGGGTTTTGGCTAGTTTAATATGTGGTCTTAGTCGGCCGAATGTAAGATTAAAGTCTATTTATTCAATTTGACCAGCTTTTGCGGAATGTAAGTAAATATGTAGGCATTTGAAGGCGTTGACCGACCAAAATAGATCTTCTCCCAACGTACTGTAAATATTCGATGCAAAATCGCTCTTGTGGGTTGTGGGCGAAGCTTGGTCGACATTAGCGAATATTTTGTTGTATATTTCGCCGTCAGGACTTGTTCTTGCTGCCATTTGTCGTATGCGGTTTCACAACAAGAGGCTTCCTTGTTGTCTCGTCTTTCACAGACCACGTTGCAACGCTTGTTTGCCAGCAGTTTGAGAACTTAATTCGCATCACAACGAAGGAAGTCGGTGTATAATTTTCGATAGCTGTTTGTGCTGGCTGTAGATTATTATGTCGACAGCTCCTATTGGTGTGAGCGTACCCGATTCAGAAACGCTAAGCTCGGAGAAATCGAAGAAATTTACAGTAAGTTTCCTGTAGTGACAAGATGGCTTTATTGTTTGGCTTTAAAATAGACTATAGTTGCCCAGTTCAATGGTTGCTTGTCTAGATTGAACTGGTGTATGTCTGTTGGCCTTTGCACAGATTCTAAGCATAAATTCACTGGATTTGTTTAGTTTGGCAGGCCAACGGTAGCATACTAGCTTGCAATTTTCATCCATTCCCTTCTGCAAAAGCTTGCTTTTTAAAGGTGCTTTTATTAAGGAGTTCTAAGTTAATATATGTTTGTTTTATAATTTATGCAGTTGACATGTTGTTTAATTTTCTATATTGTATAGTGTATATTAAATGTCATACTTCAGAATTGTGCCGAATGAAATTCGAAATAAAACTACAGTAGCTTCGAGAATTCACCTTCTGCTAAGGTGTTTTTCGAAGCGAATGTTTGAAAGATGCAAATTTTGGCGAGATATTTTTAGTCTAAGACACTTCCTCGACTGAAGTGTTTTTGTTTTTGCATTTTGTTATTCAACGTGTTATGCTTGAACGCGATCGAAGACAATGCAAGCAGGCTATATATTACAATTTGCAAATTAATCGTAAAACGAATTAACAAGAAAATAGCCTGCCTTTGTAATTGCATGGTCAATAGCGAATGCTCAAATTGGAAGTACAAACTTAATAGCAAATAAATTCAGTAAATTCAACCTGGTTGATTTAAATATAGGCATAGTATAAACCATGGTGGTTGTAAAAACGAATGTTGCGAACATGTTAAAGTCTGTCAGCATTTTCTTCAATTTTCCCATATTTTCCACATTCAAAAAGCACATTGAAACTTAAAATGAGTCTATTATCTTACAAAACATGCCTTTGGCATGACAAAGTATTGAATGTTTTTCGTTCTTTGTTTTGGCTATTTAAAGAAATCGGCGTCACAAAAACTTCGTTGATTTAAAATTGGAATTGTGACGCACGTTTCGCCGTAAAGCGCCTGAAATGCTTCCTAAAATTGACTGAGACAATATTGAGAGATTTCATGGTCTAGTGCGTGGTCACATTCGATGTTATTTGACGTTGTATTTGATATTAGTTCTTTAAATTAAACTGTATTTTTTGCATGACGTGCAATTTTTTTCATTTGTTGATGTGGTGTAAATTTCAATAAGGTTGAGACGCAATCACTACTCTGAAAACATCATACGCGATCACAAGTTTCCTAGATTCCTAGGTGTAACTTTTAACTTATATATACTGGGCTTTATTATTTCTAGAATCAACATATTAATTGGTCTATAAGCTATAAATATTTCATTTATATCATTTTTCAGTTAATTCGAAAAACACACACTCCAAAATAGCGCTGTTGAACAGAATTGTATTAATGGTAAATTCTGTCATTCTACCAAGTAAATGTGGTACAAAGTTGCTCCGTTGCCTTTTTTGTTTCATTTTTCGTCCATTTTATTCGAACAAACATCTGGAAAGTCACGTACAAATCATCTGTTGTTTTGACCAAATTCGCTAAGTGTCTAAAAAGTTCTTTGTCTTTATATTGAAGTGTCATCCTTCACAGCTTTTTACAATAACAACGCTTACTCTACTTATTTTACACAACAACAAAAATATTTAAACATTAGAGATTGTAAAAAGAGTTGTTTTGTAACATAGTTATGGTAGCAGCAACACAAACTAAAATATTTTTTTGCGTGTTTAATTGCAGACAAAGCCATTAATGGCTTAATGGCTTACATGTAAAGTGGCTCCTTGTATTTATGTTTCTGCCCTAACTTTTCAGGATGCGATAATTCCAAGATTTTTAGTCCTAAACATTACACAAAGTTGGTCCAAATTGAGACACCCCACCACTGTTGCAATGGTAATTGCTACATTCTTGAATTGCTGCAAACTTAAGATTCACGTCTTTAACATAACATGATACTGACAGCACTTTCTAAGAAATATTTTACACATTACTGCATATACAAGTACATGCAATATTACAGTTAACCCTAACATTCCTTCCATTAGTCTAATAATGTTTCGTGCCATGTCAAAAATGTTGGATTTAATCGTTTCAGTTGCATTGCGCCCTACTTTATTATTTTACTCTGTCTAATGCCAGATTATTTTACTCTGTCTAATGCCAGACTCCAGCGCTCTCCCCTTGACGAGTAAAATTGTCTGGCGTTAGACAGGGTAAAACAATAAAGTAGGATGCATTAGGGCGCAATGTGACTCGATGGGTTAACTAGACACATGGGAAGATAGGCCAGTTACCCCATTAGGCGCCAGCATTCTCCCCTTGACGAGTAAAATTGTCTGGCATTAGACAGAGTAAAGTAATAAAGTAAGGTGCAATGTGACTCAATGGGTTAACCGATTAAGTTGCATTGTACCCTAATGCGCCCTACTTTATTAATTTACTCTGTCTAATATAGGCTGTTGCGGTATATCAATATACCGATAATTATTGTTTTTTATAAATACCGATTACTCGATATTGAAATTTTCGATATATCGGAATATCGATATGTTTTGGTATGATCGATATTACGTGTACGACTTTATGTTTGTATATTTAAACATCATATCTAGCTTTTTCAAGCGCTGATTAAAGTTTTTTCAGAAGAACAAAGATGATCAGTGTGAATAATTAGTGTTTATAGAGCGAGAGCTAAAACATGTTTACGTTGTCGTTGATGTTAAAAGGTGTAATATGTCATTTCGCTTGTCAAAAAGTGAACTTTTAGAACGTAAACAACGTTGGATTACAAGTGTTTAAAAAACTAACCTCATTGGACATTATTTATCTTTGTTTCAAATTCGCAGTTGAATAACATGTTTTGAAACAAATTTCCCGGCCAAAAATATATGAATCGTGATTCATCCTGAGGCTGAGTGTGGATAATCAATGAAAATATACGCATTTTCAATTCCCAAAGCGGACATTTCTCTTGTCATATCCCGGCTATTTGGCATCATTTGAAAACAGAAACTTTTGCATAAAATGAAGCAAATTTTTCATAAAATTAAGCAAAATACAATCGTGAAAGAATATTGATATATCGGTATTATCAGTATTTTTTTCCGGTATTGGTTTTTGGTTTTTCAAATACCGCAACAGCCTACTGTCTAACACTGGTCAGACGATTTTGCACACCAGAGTGCTGGCATTCAATGGGTTGAATACATACAGGGTTCGTAGCGGTCTTTGAAATCCTTGAAAGTCTTTAAATTGGAATGCAGGTCTTTGAGGTCTTTGAAAAGTCTTTAAATTTTGTGAAAAAGCGAAGAAAGTCTTTAAAAGTCTTTGAATTCTTTAGTGAGTATTTGATTATACGATTTCCTAGCTAATAAAATAGATTGATTGAAGCAAGATTTTCGCAAACATTGACGAAAAGGCGCGTTTTAGGATGTGATTTGACGGGACTAATTACTGGGTAAAAATGGTGCTTACACTCGCAATTTTGCGACAGCTGATTGCCCTCAAAGGTCTTTGAAAAGTCTTTGAAAATAGGCAGAAAAAATCTTTGAAAGTCTTGGATTTTTTTTGGTGGACTTCAATAATCTGGTTTCTTGCACTTCACTTGGTGGTATTAATATTTGAATGCTGTTCTTAGGGTTTGTAATCCAAGTGAGTATATATATATATATATATATATATATATATATATATATATATATATATATATATATATATATATATATATATATATATATATATATATATATATATATATATATATATATATATATTAAATGAATTTGTGCAACTCTAAAAAAGCGGTTCTAAATGAATTTGTACAACTCTAAAAAATCTGTGCAGTTGAAAAAAATACGAGCTTTCAGGACATTTTTTGTAGAAAAATAAAGTAAGCGAAAGTAATAAAAGAGACATATAGCTTCAACAGCAAAACTGAAAAGTGGTAGAAAAAGACTTATTTTCTTAAATAGCAAACTTATAACAGATAAAAAAAAATGCTGTCTGAGTGGTTATATTACTACCTTAAAAAACAAGCAGAAACCCGCGAGTTTCTGCTTGTTTTTTAAGGTAGTAATATAACCACTCAGCACAGCATTTTCACATTGGTACTATACCTACACTGGTACAGACAGTTTTAGTAATTATAACAAATAACAATATAGTTAGTATATATGTAACATAATTTGTTAGATCTTTTACTAACAATAACTAAAATGTTCTCTTTTTTCTCTTCGCTGTTATCTGTTCTTCGTGACAGTCTGTCAATTTCTCGGATCGATTTTGAAGCTTCAGAAAATATTCCTTTCAAATATTGCTGTTGTTTTCCTTTTGGACGATCTCGGGTGCGATGCTCTCTTTCATCATCCAACTCCTTACGGCTGGTTTAGGATACCAATGATCCATCGGCGGCATGTTGTAATGCACATACAAATTTAAGTTTTCTGTTTTAACGAGCTTTGGAGAACGACCAGAAGACTTCGGTGACACACCGCAATTTATCAGACGTTCTACGTTGGCGCTATATGGCTTTGCTGCAAGGATCTTTGCACATGCAATTTTGAGGTTTGGGGGTCATCGGATTTGACAAACCTTTGGAATAGTTCGCTAAGTGAAAACTTTCTGAAATCCTCTAGACCTTCCATGCTGAAAACAAACCAAGTTCCATTTAGGCCATATAAAATAAATTCCTTGATTCTCATCGCTAAATTTTAAAAACTCCCAGGAGGCGGAGGATTATATTTTATATTTTATGTCAAAATATAAAAAAAAGTTTAAAATTTAAAAAATTGGAGAGGGAGGTCTTTTTATATTTGCCCGTAAATATATTATAGAAGAACGCTATATAAGTGGATAATTGCACATGCGCTAACGAACATGCATAAGGGTCCACACAAATCGTTGTAATAAGGCTATAAGCCCATTTTTTCCTTAAGTATTCCAAGCATCCCTTAACATGTTGCAATATTAACGGTAAAACAATTTTATATCGCAAAAATTCCAATATAAAATATAAAAATAACTAAATCTCTGAAGATGCTCGGTCGGGCGGTAAATTTATATTTTATAACAAAATACAAAAATATATCAACGCGGAAACCAAAATATCGTCGGGCGGTGATGAGAATCAAGGAATAGTTATTTTATATGGCCTAAGTCTATATCTTTGAAAAAGCGCTTGTGGACCTCCTTCAAATTGGCTGACTGTTGCAAGTTTACAAATGCCTTAACAGACAAATGTCGTCTTCTTGGCTCGAAAACCTTTAGTCAAAAACCTTGTCAGAGACTCGACGATTTCATTCTTAATAGCATCAATGTCCCTTGTGTCAGTTACATAAAGATGGTCAATTTGTCGACGCCTTGCATTCCCACTGCATATAAATTCAACTCCTTTCAAGACATGGTCTCATTTTCTTCCTCAAAACCTGCTCGCTTAAAGCTTCAACCCATCCGCCGAGGAGAGCCCTGTGAAGAAAGTTTTAAATTTAGGCAAATTGTTCGATTTTTATGGTGTTTTGAATTTAGCCTTCGATGGCCTGGCACCGTCGTATTCTGTAACAACAAAGAGGCTGGGTATAACCCATTGAAATGAATACAACTGGAACGCTACCTTCAGATCTTTTTGTAGTTTTTGAAACCAAATGTTCAGACCACAGTCACCACACGTGTTTATGTCATGATTGACAGATTGAGCGCTCCTTGCACGCATGAAAAGACTGGGACTGGCCTTCAAGTGTGGCTTCAAATTTCCGGTTGGAGGCAATCTCGTTCTCCGAGCCTGCGATCCTCGGGAAGGAACGTGAGGCTCTGGGATAGTCAGTTTCGGCAAAGATTAGATACTATAAAGATGTGTCACTCTGCGAAAATTATGTCCGAGATTTTTTTATAGCCGCCATTTTGCCAGTAAGTGTCAAATTCGTCAAAATTCGTCATATAGCGCGAGCATCGCGATGGCAACCTATTGTATTCAGTCTCGCCGCCATTTTGGCAGTAAGTGTTATGCACTCGTCATCTCGCGTGATCACTCGTGATCAGCACGGAAAATTACGGACACGCAAACATTAGGGAAATACGTCGAGTGACACATCTTTATAGTATCTAATCTTTGGTTTCGGGGAGGAATCTGTTGGCCGTTGATATGGCATGCGCAGTTCGGTCTTTAGCGAGGATTCTTGGCTTTCGGCAACGGATTATCCCAGAGCCTCACGTTCCTTCCCGAGGATCGCAGGCTCGGGGGAACGAGATTGGGTTGGAGGTAGCGTTCCAGTTCCATTCAGTTCAATGGTTTAGCCCGTTTTCTGACGTCATGAAAAGTACGGAAAAGTACTGCCATTTTACCAAATTTAAACTGTCATAAAATTCGGAGAATTTGCCGAAATTCATTTCGTTTTCGCAGAAATAATAGAAATCATGCCAAGATTTTATATCGATGAGAAAACATTTTGGGGTTAGGAGCACTTTAAGGCCACTTTCACACTACTCCGTTTTCGAATCTTCGTTTCTGAAATTTCGAAAATGCATAATGTGTAATGGTCATTGAATAAATAATTATGTTTGTTCCTTTCTCCAGCTTCGTTATGCTCGATTGAACCTTGTGTTAACAATGGGACTTGCCGTGAGCACAATGATGACATCACGTGTACCTGCGCCAGCGGTTTTACCGGCAAGCGGTGTGAGGCGAAGATTATAGGTAAGACCACTGGATACTGATTAGACAGCCGCGTGTCAACTCAATCTCTTCTTACGTATGATGACATACATTATGTGGTCATAAATCTATGATGTTATACCATACGGGCGTATACCTTTCATTTGTGAGCAAGGGCGTAACTTGGGTTTAAACATAAGGTGGGAGGGGGTGGGGAGTCGTACGCACGACAAAAGGGGTGTGATCAGAAAAGAACGTAGAGATGCTGGGAAACTAAGAAGGTTTGTAAGAGTCCTCAGAGGTAGCGTCAAAGACACCATCCTCGTCCTCCTACGATAGCCGGCAGCAAAAAATTTTTTTGTCAATTTTCGATCTCGCGTCCATTCTCGTTTCCTGGGATACGGGCCCCGATTGCGAATTATGAATAAGGTCTACGTCGAGCCGCCAAATAGACACTTCTCAGATACAGTTAAGTCTCGCAACCTTAACTTAGCTTTATCTTTATTCTTTAAGTAAATACAACCAACGAGTACGTTTACTCTGACGAAGCAAAGCGTATCAAGCTGCCGGGATTTTTAAAAAGAGTTCAGGATGCTTACTACGAATACAATCGTAACGCGTTGCCATGGGCACCACGTGAAGAAGATGACGATTTTGTGGAGCGGCTGAAAAACAGGTATCGAAACGTTTTACAAACCAACACGAAGCTAAACTAACTTAATATATTCTGGATAGCTCTATCAGTTCTAAACTGTTCGAGCCATCCTTATTGGTCCAATATTGAGGTAAGCCCGTTTTCCACTTCGCCCGTATCGTACCGTAACGTACTGGTGAGCATGCGCAGCTTGAAGATGGGTTTTTAAATTTACGTGCTTCCGGTTGATTCGCGAATCAAAATAAAAAGTTCGTCGCAAGTCAAGTTGAGCGTACTACGGAAGTATAGACCAATCAACATTCACTACAATTTAAAATTTGTTTTGATACGTTACGGTACGATACGCTTGAAGTGGAAAACAGCCTTTACAACCAAACATTAGTTTGTTCAGTGGTTCGGAATTACAATGCTTCCACAACGCTCTCTGAAAAAAATTCCTTTTCAATTAATCTCGGACTTTCACGACCAGGGCGCTTACACAAGCGCGCTGCGAAATTGATAACAGAAATCCCCGTTATTCTAACTATAAATTCATTCGCCCTAAGTATAAACGCGTGAATGAGGGCGGCAGCACTTTTAATGCTGTGCAACCATGGAACAGTTTATCTTTAGAGTTAAGAAAGAAATCCACTATTAATGCTTTGAAGAAATCTCTTTTTAAACTGCTCTTGAATGAATAGTCGTCCTTATATCATTTCAATCCATAGTTATTTAGTATTAATTGTAACTATGTTCTAGTTAAGTGCATATTTAATAATTGAGGGCCACAAGTTTATTGGTGCTTGTGATGTTACTCTGAGTGTATGTCCACACCGGGCAAGCTTGAAAAATATGCCTGTCGAATCGAACCTACGACCTTTGGAATACTAGCCCAATGCTCTGCCAACTGAGCTACGCGGTCAGCTCGGTTCGAGTATGTGATATTTCGGAACAGAATCTAGTTCCTTCGATACCAATGTAATCTAGTAATCATGATATTTTCTGTGTTGGTGTAATGTACTCAGGTGAATATGATGCTTGTGATGTTACTCTGAATGTATATCCGGATCCACACCGGGCAAGCTTGAAAAATATGCCTGTCCATGGTGAGAATCGAACCTACGACCTTTGGAATACTAGCCCAATGCTCTGCCAATTGAGCTACGCGGTCAGGTCGGTTCGAGTATGATATTTCGGAACAGAATATTTAGTGATTATTCTCATTAAATAGATTCTTTACTCTTACTCTAGTATTCGTCTTTTTTAGACATCTTCCTTACAATGCCACTCCTGCCTATCTTAAAGCCAAAACTGATGGTGCGTTTGAACTACTGAATGAAATCAACTCGACAGTTTTAGATGAAAACAAGATGACACCTCGAGAAGTTAAAGCTCTAGAGCAGGTTTGTTTTGCATCGATTTTCTGATGAAATGGAACGCCAAATGCTTGACACTCGTACTGTAGAAATCCAAAAGTTACGTTAAGATAAAAGGAATATGTTGGTACTTTTAATTTCAGTTGTCGTTGTTGTTGTTGTTGTTGTTGTTGTTATATGTTGGTACTTTAAATTGTCGTTGTTGTTGATGATGTTGTCGTTGATGATGTTGTCGTTGATGTTGTTGTTGTTGTTGTTGTTGCTGTCGTTGCTGTCGTTGCTGTCGTTGTTGTTGTTGTTGTTGTTGTTGTTGTTGTTGTTGTTGTTGTTGTTGTTGTTGTTGTTGTTGTTGTTGTTGTTGTTGTTGTTGCTGTTGTTGTTGTTGTTGTTGTTGTTGATGATGTTGTTGATGATGATGTTGTTGTTGTCGTTGTTGTTGTTGTTGTCGTTGTCGTTGTTGTTGTTGTTGTTGTTGATGATGTTGATGTCGTTGTCGTTGTCGTTGTCGTTGTCGTTGTCGTTGTCGTTGTTGTTGTTGTTGTTGTTGTTGTTGTTGTTGTTGTTGTTGTTGTTGTTGTTGTTGCAGTGCAACATTTTATCAACAACATTGATTTATTTTAGGTAAAACACTTCCTAAGAACGGTGTTTGGGTCTCCATTTGATGAAAATTTCTACAATGGCGACTGGATGTTAGGCCCTAACCACTTCTGCTGGCAAGCTATTTGTTCAATTGCTTTTGATATCGGCGCTTATGCCTACTATGTGAAGCCAAAGAACTTTGATGATGCTGAAAAAATGATTGAAAAAATATTGTTAAATAAGCAATCCATCACACAATACATGTAAGATTCTAATACCTCTTAATCCCTCAAACAATTGATTTCAAGTGAATAGAATTACAATCGTTTCAATTCTCCGACAATAAATAGTTTTGCACTAAATTCCCAAAGGTGGAAATGTGCGATTTGGAAAGCTATTTTAAATCGAATCGGATTAGGATATTGTTGATAAAAACTCTACAATGTGCTCGGTCATTAGTAACGTGCCCAACCTCCGTAAAACTTTACCAAACGAAACCTAAACGCTCTATTTTCATTTGTTAGGGCCAATATGCAGCTTGGTGTAAAAACTGGAATGGTTCGTTCCAAATTCAATTGCATTTCTGGTATTGATGCCTTTAAGCAAAAATTCCCAAAGATCTCAGCTGACAATGACCCAAATGCAGTTTTGAGCGAGTGGTTTGTACAAGGTTATATTGGAGCTGAGTTTACCAAGAGTTTCTCTAAGGCAGACAGAGACAAATGGGTGGATAGATATAATAAAACTTTCATGCAATCTGTGAATGATGACTTGATAGAAGGTACGAAAGCGTTGACACTTAAGCATAAAAACGTAAAAAAACAAAACTTAACTTGCTTAATTTATTTCTCCCGGAAAGCTCTATCAGTTCCAAAGCTTTTCTCCCTTGAGATCTAGAAATGTTCGTCTTAATTTTTTAGTGATCCAATTAATCGAACTATTATAATATTTATTCTGGATAGCTTTATCACATAGGCAGGTAAAGCCCCCCCCCCCCCTCCCAACTTTGAAAAAGTAGAAAAAAAAGAGGGGCCTTCAAAGTTCAAACGTATTGTAGCATTTTCTTTTGTGTCGCAGTCATTATTTAGTTTAGGTTTTCTTTTGTAGTAACACTGAATCAAGAAAAGATGATTCTTACTGCACATCTAGGGAGAACAGTTAGAACTGATAGAGTTATCCAGTATAAATAAAGTTAATTTAGGTTTCGTCCTGTAGTAACATTGAAGCAACAAACAAGGAATGACCCTTGTTGAAAATCTGAGCAGAACAATTTAGAACTGATCGAAAGAGCTATCCAGTATAAATATAAAGTTAACTTTTCAATCGTTTATTTCCAGGAATTGGGCAGCCTATTGTAGACCTTATCAAGTACATGGAAAACGAGCACTTACGACATTGCTTGCCTCGGGACGTGGCTAGCGGAATTGCAGAACTTCCTGTTCAATTCATCTACGTTGATGGCAACGCCACAAATAATCGCACGACAAGACGTTTGCCCATCACGGGTGAGATCTTGGATGGCAAGAAATCGTACAAGAATATCTTACCGTATTTTACGACAAGCGAAATCACGCCTGAAAGAATTAACGAGATTGGACAGCAGCGTTTGAAAGCCCTGTATCCACAGGTATGGAGATTTGAAGAGTAAACGTAATACACTAGTCAATTGAAACCCCGGACCCCCGGGTGTATATATGCAGGCTTTTTCCTACGCAGAGACACGTACGGAGTATACTAATCAGGGCGTTTATATATAAGGGCCCTGGTACTAACCATACAGAAGTTTCACTTCGCGAGAATCGAGAAAAACGTGAGGAGTGTTACTGCGCATATCTGGCGGCCATGTTCTTAGTAAGTACCCCAAAGAGAGGAATTTCCCCGCTGGAACATTAAATTTCAATATGTTTTCCGGGGTTGACGGCCTCTCTTTAGGGCACATGCATGGCGGACTGGAACAGTCTCTTAAGCCGGTTTTCCACTGGGCGGAATTTTGCACGCGGAGCGGAATCTTTCTTTGTCTTTTCTAATTAGTTCCACCCAAGAAATCACCAGACAAAAAGAAAAATTCCGCTCCGCGCGCAAAATTCAGTCTGGTGGAAAACCGGCTTTACGCTGAAATTAATAATTTCTATCGCATAGCTATACACAACATTACAAAGTCGATCAGGTTCAAATACTGCATATAAAATTCAGTCAAACGCATTCTAACTCGTCCTTCGGGAGTTTAAGATTTTGATGACGGACCACCGACTACGTTTGAAATAGTTTTTGTTATGTGTATGCAAATACTAAATACTTGTCGTAACAAATTTATTCCAAATAAGCTTTATGTGCATGGCTTTGTGTTCGATAAGTTTCATCTTTTAACTTTCTTCATTTCTTTATAAAAATACTCTCTCTCCAACAACGTTGCGTAGTCAGTTTCGGTGCTATATTCTTGATTCTGTATTACAACACAACACAACACAACACAACACAAGAATATGATTTTTACGCTGTGGCCAAGGTCGCTGCAGTGAAAAGCATGCTCTGGAGATATGCAAATTTTGTCTGCCTCAGTTAAAGCAATGCGAAAACAAGCTTTCAACCGTATTCCGTACCCGTTACTCGTTGTCGGCATCTTAAGGTTACAGGACACCCTTTTTGGCGTTTTGCGATATCATATCAATATCAGTCCGATTTTCATCAAATTTTCACCAAATGTTCTCCAGTGCATGCAAAATATGATAAAGTTGTAAAATTAAGAAACAATAAAATAATGTAAGAATTATTCAGGAAAATCTCAAATCGCGGTACCGTTACGCTTTTGAGTTGTGCTCCTGCTGGTTTTAAGTTATATTTATGAAAATATCATTTTTATACAGTAAAATAGTTGTTCTAAAAAATTGTGTTCGGAAATTTTTGTTTATTTCGTCATTCCGCTGATATGGCGATTTCTTTGACGACTGTAATATATTTCTGAATTGTTTGAGTCAATTGCTCTTTATTTTTAAAATATCCAAAATTTAAAAAAAGCCGAACACAATTTTGAAACTGAAGTCTTTTTGCCATGTCCTGTGAAAATTCGAGAAAAATTGGTTAAAACCCGCAGGAACACAACTCGTTTGAAAATCAGTAATTACCGTAAAATTTTTCGGGAGAAAATTGAATTTGATTATTACATTTTCAATGTTTTTCTTATTGCAGCGAAATGTATTTTATTAAATAACTCTGTGAGTTTTCAACATTTTTCGTTCAAACTTGGTCAGATAGTAGAACTAGTCTAATGCTTTCATGGAAACCAATAAAAAAATTTTAGGCAAAATTAACACTCAAATGTGTTCTGTAACCTTAAACTCCCTGTTATCTAGCGTAAATACCACTGTTCTGCATGACATCCAGTAACGATTCAGTGATCGGAATGTTCTATTGCCTTTTCATTGTTTTGAAAATCTCACTGTTCTCTATGCCATCCAGTAACGATTCAGTGATTGGATGTTCCATTGACTTTTCATTATTTTGAAAATCCCACTGTTTTTTATGCCACCCAGCCACGATCCAGTGATAGGAATTTTCCATTGTCTTTCCATTGTTTTGAAAATTCTACTGTTTTTTACTGCTATTTAGTTTCTAGCTTAATTTCCAACCTAGATTATTGCGATTGCAAAGAATGTAACTGGAAAATCTAATGAGGCCGAAGCAGTGACCGCATTCCGTAAAATCCTCACAAACCAAAGCTCGTTTTACAACGATGCACCGTTTCCACAAATCGAATCCAACTCCACAGCTCACAAACGTTGTACAGACTTGGCAAAAGCAAGAAAATATTGCCCTGAACGGTACAAATCCTTATTAAAATGGATGTCAACGTGTAGAGAGACGATGAGTATGCTTTCTCCAAAGCTTATACCATTGTTTTACCACACAGGGGATAAAATAACATTCCCCAACTGCCCGATTGAAATGCTGCCTAGTTTTAACCCGTCTTCAGGCGCGCAGTTCTTT